GGTGGATCAGGAACTAGTCAATCAGGTGGATCTGGTACTACTCAAGCTGGTGGACAAGGATCTTCTCTAGCTGGTGAATCAGGAACTACCGTGGAACTGTTTAAGTATCACGTTATCAAGTTCAGGGGGGGTTGTGCGTAGTCAAGGATGATGTGTGATTGGATAGGGGGTGGGAGTGGTCGTTCCAGTAATAACGTTTCAGATGAAGGTTTTTTTTTGTTGGTGCGCTGTGAGTTATAGGTTATTGTTATTGGTTGAAAAGAATGAACCAGTGACATTGTTTCTTTTGTCTTTTGTTGATATCGACTGATTATATGAGTATTTTCATAGGATGTCCGAATGTAAGGATAAAATACAGAGAGAGACAATGAAAACTGTTGAGCTTTAGTAATTTTGAAGGGATTGTAACTGTATGTTTGTTTACTGTTTTTAGATATTTTTGATGATTAGTAGCTCTGCAGATTCTCTTTATCAAAGGTTTTGTTAAGTCTTACGTGGTAGTTTTCAAGGGTACACCAGAAGTAAGATATATTTTATGTATTAAATATAATATATTATTATTTTTTTCAATTGGACAGGTTATTTAAGGAAAATTGACAATGGAAAAATCTAAAAGCTATAGATAATGAGAATATCGAAAGAGAAATTCAACGTTTAACACTGGAAATGAAGATAAAGCAACCACAATCTTTATTAACAATATTGGGACGACGATCTACAACTTCTGCTCATAATTCGACGTCAATTATCAGTTCAGTTGATACTGGAACTGACATAACAATAACAAATGATGACATAAATACATCAACATCTAATTCATCTTAATCGAAAAGCTCTGTAATAGTACCATTGTAAATGATTTCTCATAAAATTATTAAATAATTTATCTTTTATTCTAGACATGTCATGCTCAATTTAGATTTCTTAGCATCAGATTTCATTGAAGTTTAATCTCATTTAGTAATATTTTTGTAATTCATATTTATTTCTCTATGTTTTATTTTGTGATGTATATATACTTGTTTATGTATTTTTTTACTCGATTAATTAATTCTAAACCAGTATGTGAAATAAATATACGTACGAAACAATTAATTTACTTTTTAACTTTACAAAATACTTATGTAATAAAAAAAAATATTCTAATGATTACGTTACTAGGGGAGGGGGTGTGATGCCTAGATGTGCAGCATACACTATGCCAGATAGTCAACATCAAGAGATGAAAGATGAGTGTGTATACCAATCTATTCTATATATGCATGAACTGAACTCGCAACACTCCACAACATATATGAGTGATAATCGCAGCCATTGTACCATTGTATCCGTGAAATAAAAATGTCTGTAAGTCAAGTTCTGCTTAACTGATTTTAATAATTTGTTTTTGTTTTATTGGTCTGTATATGAACATTTACTTCTGAAAAAATCAAGTTTTTATCTGTCTTAGTTTAGGAGATATCGATGCAACAGCACCAAAAATCCAGCTTTTCACGACATATATCGATCAAAAACGCTTTTTTTCGGAATCTAGTTTTGGCTTTTTTAAATTATTATTTAATCAAAATTTGTAGCGCTCGTCGTGGACTTTCAGAACATATCGTCGATATTTGTTTTAAATAAATTTTTATAAGTCAAAATCATTGATAGAAGAGATGAAGACACTTGTTAATTTCGTGTAGAGCGACATTAAAATGATTGGCTTGTTATTTGACGAAATTCGTTTGGCACGAATTTGATTTAGGATGAAAGAGGAAGCGAGGGAAAATAAATTGACACTAAAAAGATATTAGTCTTTGAGGTCCTATCATTGAAAAAAACCACTCAGACTACTAGGAAACACGATTTTCACACAAAACGTAGAGCGACATTTTAAATTTTGTGATTGCTACAATCCTATGAAAAATAAACCGTTTGCTATAGAAATTTTATAGTTTTTGCATCTCACCGAGTGGTGTTATATCCCAGAAAAATCAAGAAAAAAAACCTTTTCGATTAAGAGAAAATTCAATCTTTCTAAGAAAATGTAGAGCGACATTTTTACAGTAAAATATGTAGAGCGACATTGATTGTTGGGATTATACGTATTAACTGATCGATTTATGGACACAGTATGTTGAGACTGGCTGTGCATCGATAACAGTTTTATAATGCTAACATTTTTGTATGTCTATCGTATCCAAAAAAGAATAAAAGAAATGTCACAAAATTTTTCATTAATCTATGCGAAACAAAAATACTTATGATTCATGAGGGGCACAATGAACGAGAAAGAGAAAGAGAAAGAGAAAGAAACAGAGCATTCACTCGTATCATCATAGTCTCACGGTACCTAGCAAAGCGAATCTTGTCGATATCTCCACAGTTAAATATATTTAGTAGACATTTTTTGAAAGGTTTTCATTAACATTGTTGTTTTAAAACAAAGCTATTTATCACTATTCTAACTTATAATTACGGATCGGCACGGTTTCACGAGAAAGTGTAGGGAAACTATTATTTTCATAAACACTTTAGATCACTCTATCGAACGCGATATTCAGCTCCTTCAGATTATAAAATTTATTTTTCTCCATTTTTTTCATCGAACGGTACAATGGCTGCGATTATCACTCATATATATATATATATATATATATATAATATATAGTGCGCGAAAGCGATAATGAGAAAACAACGAAAACATAATACTACAAGTGATGAAACACCGTACCGTCACAGGGCTCCCCCACCACAAAGAAGAGTGGAGCTCCGGCGATAAAGAGCATAATAAGTTCATAAATGAAATTAAGATGAAACGTATAGAATTATGTGTTATGTTTTGTTTTTGTTTTTAGTTTTTTTTGTGTTTTGTTTTAGTAACGTGTATGTAGATGAAAAAGATGAAGATAGTTAAGGACAGAATAGTAATAGCATATTGATTGATAATGATGAAATAGAGTAAATGATGTAAGAGAACAAGATGGTTGAAAACGATTCATATATCCATTAAATAGAGATGGACAATTGAATATAAGACCACGAAGTTGACAATACACGTAAATAGATATATAATAATAATTATATAGACGCATTGTAATTGACGAGATTAAAAACAAATGAGTGAATTAATATCAATGAAAGAATGAAGAAATAAATAAACTTACAGAAGATAATTAGACAAAAGAAAAAAAAATATTGAATAAAGTTAAAGATCGTCAATTAATAGAATGAATGGTGGTAAATGAATAATAAGGTGTAAGTCGTTCTACATGTATTGGAGATAAACGTCGATGAGAAGTAAGATGTTCTAATTCATAAGTAACTGAAGATAATTTAGTAATGATTTTATATGGACCTTCACGACGTGGCTGCATTTTACTACCACGCCATTTGCCCATGGCAATACCAGATAAACTAGTTACCCAGACGATATCACCTGGATTAAAATGTGATGAACGACGATGATCATTGTAGTTACGAGCTTGTGTTTGATGAGAAATGTCGAGTAATTCACGTGCAGATTTATAGGCAGGTAATAAATCATCAAGTAAACGTTTACGATAAATTGATAGCTCATCTGAAGATGGTAAATTATCAGAAACAGGAGGTGATCGTAAAAGTAAATCAAGTGGTTGACGAGGATGACGTCCAAACATTAAGAAAGCTGGCGAATGATCAGTTGATTCACTTGGAGCAGTTCTTAAAGCAAAAGCAATTTGTACTAATTTAATATCCCATGATTTTGAATCATTATGAGCAAGTGATGCCAATATAGGTTTTAATGTACGATTAATACGTTCACTTAGATTACTTTGTGGATGATAAAGAGGTGTACGTTGATGATGAATACCGAGAATAGCACATGATTGAATAAATATTTTTTAAATAAATTGTACACCATTATCACTAATAACACGAATAGGAAATCCGAATCGACAGATAACTTCATCGAGGAAAATTTAAGCTATAGTAGTTGCTTTTGTAGATTGTAGAAGAAATAGTTCAACCCATTTAGTAAAATAATCAACCACCACGAGAATAAAACGATTACCACGACGAGTCTTTGGTAATGGACCAGTAATATCAATACCAACTGTATACCATGGTTCAGATACGATAATTGGTTTCATTAAACCACCGGGTTTTTTATTATCAGGTTTATATTGTTGGCATAAAATGCAAGCGCGTACATAATTAATAACATCACGACGCATATGTGACCAATAAAATCGTGAGGTTAAACGAGATAATGTTTTACGACGACCAAGATGAGCAGCTGTTGCATGATCATGAGCAAGTTGAAGAACATGAGGTATTTCTGATGTAGGAATAACGAGAAGTGTACGTTCAGATAATGAAGATGGAATGAATGTTTGATCTTCAGGTAAATGACGAGTACGAAATAGACGATAAAGTGCACCATCAATTACTCGATATAAACGAGCTAATCCATAAAATTTATTAAGATTATCAACTGTAGGAATAATCTGATGTTGAAGATAATTAAGTAATGGTAAAAGAGAAGAATCATTCCATTGAGCAGTACGAATTTGTTCATATAAATTAATATTATCAGCAAAATGAATATTAGCTATAGATGACGTAGATGGTGTAGAAGAAATACATAGTAAAGGTATTGGAATTGTTAATGAAGTTGGTGGTAATAAATTTTGTCGAAAAAAATCCACTAATAATAATGAACCAGAATCAGAAGGACATGAAGATAAGAGATCAGTATTTGTTGTATTAAGACAATTAGATGTAAGTGAAGCAATAAAAGAATAATTTTCAGCATCTTCATCATCAGCAATAATATCTAATGGATAACGTGAAAGTGCATCAAGAGGACCATTTTCACTATCAAGTCGATGTTGAATATTCATATCATAAGTAGCAATCTGCATTGCCCAACGTGCTAATCGAGTGTTAAGATCTTTCGTTGAATGGAGCCATTTAAGAGCTCTATGATCAGTAACAGCAGTAAAACGAACACCTTCAAGATATGGTCGATAATAATTACAACCATAGACGATAGCTAAACATTCACGTTCTGTTGCTGTATATTTACGTTCAGCCGATGATAGTGTACGACTAGCATAACCAATAACATGTCCAGGAGTAACATTATCATCATCAACCAATTTTTGTACTAGAATAGCAGATAGACCAACATCAGAAGCATCTAATTGTAAAATAAAAGTTTGATCAAATCGAGGATAAGCAATAATTGGAGCTTCAAGAAGACATTGACGTAATAATTCAAATGAGTCTTGACATGTTTGAGTCCATT